TGCGCTGGCCATGCTGATCCCCGCACGGCTGTTTTCAGCCGTGCGATCGTGCGATCTAGGTCAGTCGCGCTCAACTGCCTGGGCTGCTCCAAAAGGAGTCAGCCCGAAGTCATGTTGAGATTCAATCCCTGCATCTGCAGGGTGATAGTTTGCTACGTTTACCTTCTAGGCTGGTTCCTACTACAATTGTAGTAGGAGTAACCCTCCTACTTGAAACATTGCGGGGCCTGACCGACCGCCCCTCAGTAGCACGGCCGGCTCCCCCAGCCTGTGGCTCTGCCGGCCTCGCCTGTTCGAGGCGTCACAGGCCCCGTTTACTGCACGTGCCCTACCGGTTGGCCGCGCTACCCTGGCTTGGTAATCACCTAACCAGGCAGGCCTCGGCACCGGCCAGTTGGCCTTCTGGTTCAGACCCCAACCTCGTAGGCCCAAACTTCCTATTCCTCCTGCGCCGCGGCTCTATACCCAGCACACTCCTCTTTTTAGCCTGCCTAGGCCCTGAATCGCGCGGCTGCTAAGCCGCGCAACTTTATTTTAGGTAGACTAGGTCTAGCCTTAGTTTTTCCACGACCGCACACCCCTGCGGCCTTGTCGGGAACCGCGGACGACAAGCCGTACCGCTCACTCCTGTTGTTTCAATTGAACGTCGACGACGTCATACGTCAATGACGCCAGGCTTTAGGTCTCTCAGTCATAAGGTTGGTCTGAATAAACTTTGGCAACGTCAACCTCGTCAAGTCTCTCTGTCCAAAAAAAAAGGTTGGGCAGTGTCTGCCCTTAAAAAACTCGGGCAGAAACCCTCACAGGGGTTTCTGTCCCGACAACGGTGACTAGACAGGGGAAATCTGCTATGATCCCTATGCACCGCTATACGTCCAAGGTTGGCACCGGCCTACTGAGAGAAAGGGCACCTAGCTCCCCTTATGATGTGGTGAGCAAACACAGACGGGAGTTAGCTCTGATAGACTACGATAAAGAAACACAAGAAAAGCACTGGCAGCTCCTAAAGGAACTGCCTTCTGAAAGACTGGGGAGTGTGCTGTGGCAACAATCGATGCTAATCATACCCACTGCAACCTTTCTGGCGAGTAGAGGGATGGAAGTCTCAACAGTGTGCCCTCGCTGTCAGTGGGCTTGGGAGACCAATTGGCATTGCTGGCTGGACTGTCCGTACTCCAAGCGTATCTGGTCTTGGTGGTGAAGACACTGGTCAAATCTACCCTGGTCGTCCTTTAATTGGACAGATGAGTTTCTCCTATCAGGCATTTCGCCAGTGGCCAATAGAGGCGACAATTCAGCTTGTTATATGGCTCAGACTTTTAGAGCCATTATTATGACCACCATCTGGAACGAGAGGAATTCGCATACATTTCGACAAGAACGATGTGAGGATGTCCAGCTTAAGTCCGCCATGCGGACTTTATGTCAGCAGTGTATCTGGACAGACTGGTATCGCAAGGCTAAGGGTGGCCCTGCCCGAAAAGGAACAGCCTGGTTTTGGAAGAGGTGGGGCAACAAACAGATACTGGTCAAACCAGGTCCCAAAGGTGGTCTGGTCTTCGCTCCGTGTCTAATCCTGAAGCCTGTTTAGGCTAATCTGTATTAAACTGGGTACAGTCCCAGTATCTCACTGGATAGACCTTACTTTCACTTCTGTTTGTTCTCCGTTTAGCGGTCGTCATGAGACCAGGCAGTCAGTCGATTCTTGTAGCTAGATTCCTTTTATTTTGGGTTTTTCTCTTTGTTTCAATGGTTGACTGGAATCTGCAGGCTAATGGGTTCCTGAAGCTGGCCTAGGCTAATTGCTTTAGATCTGCAAGAAGCCAATGTAGCTGGGTACAGTCCCAGTACTTCGTTAGATAGATTCTTTACTTTTAATTCCTTCTGTTCTCGGTTTAGCGGCCGCCTTGAGATTGCAATCAAAAGGGAAAAAGCAGACATACACGATTGAAAAAACAATGAAAACATCAACAGGATTAACCATGCCTACCTAAACAGCTAAGGACTAAAAAGCCAATTGCTGAGGACCAGTTTGTCCTGCTCACCCATTGAGGCCAGTGTACGATTCAGGTACCAGGTTTTTGTAAACCATCTCTTGCCAGCTTCCGCTTTGCCTGATGATTTGAGCACCTTCCTTCTCCAATCTGCGGGGATGGACCTTCTGATGCCTTGAAAGATTTCACCTCGAATCTGGTTGTTTGTCCCTTCTTTACCATTGAAAACAGCATCATTCCTCCCATGCCGAATCACTGTGCAGATCACTGCTCTGGCAGTTTGGGCGATGTAGCCCCAGCCTTCTTTCAATTCAAGCTCTCTACATGTGCAATGCAAAACGAGAGTGCATCTTCTGCTAGAACATGGAAATGGAAAGATACACTGCCATGATTTTGTCTTTTGTGCATGTCGAGAGCAGTGCGGCGAGGCCCTTAAGAGTTGCAAACAGAACACGAGGTGTTACCTTTCGAGGCCGTCGATTCCCTCACTCGTATCTGGTTGAAGGAAGTTCCTACCGAACCACCGGTATGAGTGAAGATCCATTATCTTTTTTTTTTTTTTTTTTTTTTTTGGGATATCAACCATGAAAGGTGCGTTTTCCATCAGGCTGAATGTGGGAATCAAGTTCCAAATGAGGGAAACGCTACGGTAGTACCCGACCTTCACATCTCAAGGCCGTCGCCCGTTCTTGATTGAATGAAGTAGAAAACGTGGGAATCAAGTTCCAAATGAGGGTAACGCTACGGTAGTACCCGACCTTCACATCTGAAGGCCGTCGCCCGTTCTTGATTGAATGAAGTAGAAAAAAAAGGCCCGCCTCCCGCGAATGGTCGTCCGCCCACCCCCTGGCCCCTTCCGCGACCCGCTGGCCCCATCTCCGGACCTCAGTCCGCTCGCCACCACTCGCCTGCCTGGCCGCTGTCCAAACATCGAACTCCGACATACCGGCGGGCCGGCGAGGCCACCGCTCCGCCCGTTGGGTACAACGATAACTTTTTAAGCTTTTGCCGCGCGAACTGCGCCGGGACTCCGATAGGAGGGTCTGACCACGTGGGAGGGGGAGAGAGCGAGGGACGATGGTCCCACGACGTCGGTAAAAGCCATAGACGGAGGTCCTCCCACGTGCAAGAAAGCGAGCGAGGGAGGCCATCCCTCCACATTGGTTTCCTCGTGACGTCTTCCCTCCACAACTACCTCCACGTTTTCTACACTTCTTGGCCCCCTCCCTCGCTGTTCTCGATATTTTTCTCTTCCCCCTCCGTCTCGCGATCCCGGCGTTATCCATAACAATCGTTTTTTTTTTTTTTTTTTTTCCCCCTTCAAAAGATGGAAATTAGAACAGACAGGGAGATTCGTCGTGTTTTCTGAGGAGAAGATCGCGCGTTGGTGAAAGATGTTGTGAAGAGAGGAGGGGAGGAAGGAGAAGAAGAGGGGAGAAGAGAGGAAGAGGGAAAGGGGGAGGGGAGAAGAGAGGAGGAGGGACAGGAAGAGGGGGGATGAGGTGTGCACAGAGCACATTGTCGAAAATGATAAAAGATCATACAGAAAAGAAAACCAATGCAGTAGAACGCAATGAATTTGCTTCTACTTGTAGAGAAGAGAGGTTTGATTGAGGGGGCATTTCCGCCCATCCCCTCCCCTCCCCTCCCTTTTCGCTCTGCATTATGAATGTTACGATCTGCCGTATCTTATGAGCTGCACCTGCTTTGGGACGGACGATGAGCTGTGACATGGAGAGAAGACGGCAGGGAGGAAAGTAGGCCGCACGGGTCGGGTCATTGTTCTCTACCCCTATTCTTCTTCTTCTGCCTACTCCCCTTTTCCTCTTCTCCCTGCTTTCCTGTCTCCCCTCCTCTCCGCTCCTCTCCCCTCCACTCCCCTCCACTCCCCTCCACTCCCCTCCACTCCCCTCCTCTCCCCTCCTCTCCCCTCCTCTCCCCTCGTTTTAGATGCGTGCTTCCTCAATTTCGTCCTCTCGTTTCTCATGCCCTTGCTTCCCTGTCTCCCATTTCCGGCTGTACAGCCTCCCTCGTCTCCACGCCCCCTCTCCCCTCAAATTCGTTGAAGAACCTCACTTTGCTTTGCCCGAAGTTATCCTCGTCGGAAACTATCGCAACTCTCTCTCTCTCTCTCTCTCTCTCTCTCTCTCTCTCTCTCTCTCTCTCTCTCTCTCTCACGCGTTGCCAATTTGTCTGCAGCGAATCCTACACCTTATCGTTCCTACCCCGCGCGAAACTATTCTGATCCTTCTCCTCACCTTCGTTGTCATCTTCCTTCTGCCCCCTCCCTCCCTCCCTCCCTCCCTCCGGAGTTCAGTCTGTCAATGATCTGCCTATTACCTGTCTGCTTCTATTTTCGTCCGAACTGGTTCAGAACTGGTCTGGAAGTGGTTGCGATCCTTGTCCTTCTGGCCGTGCTGATGATCGTGGCCCTCGTTCTCCTTCTCCTCCTTCTCCTCCACCTTCCGTTCTTCCTTCTCCTGTCTCCCCCTCGTTTTTCTCCTGGTCCTCGTCTGTTTCCATGCGCGCGAAGTTTTGATAAGCGTCGAAATATTCAACCTTCCGTACTCCAGGTTGAGAATTTCTAAAATTCTAAGGTCTTTCCCCTCTTGCCCTCAGAGTTCCTTGTATGCCGGTGCTGTCGTCCTCTTGCGCTCTCGCCTGTCTTATCACGTCCCCTCTCTCATCCTTTCACCGACTCCGTCTTCCTGTGCCCACTTCCTCTGTCCGCTTCTTTCCCTTGTCACCTTCTCTCTCCGGTCTTAGTCCTTCACTCTTCTTCCTCTCGTCTTTTCTTCTTTACATTCGTTGTCTCCTCTTCGTTTTCCCTCCTCCCCTTCTCCTCGCTCCTCTCCCTTTTCACTTCTCCTTCATTGGTTGTCCTTGCCTCCTCCGCAGCCATCGAGGCACCTCCTCTCCCTGGTTTCTTCTCCTCCCTCCCTCCTCCATCAAGTGCTGCATATTGACTTGCCAGTTGTCTACATACGTAGCCAAGTCGTCTAGCTCGCCGGTTTTTTTTAAGGCAGACTTCCTCTACTCCTCCCCCCCCCCTCCCCGTCCTCAACTCCTTGCTCCCGTTGATCATCGCCCATGATGTGGCGGCATATTCTGCCAGCCTGGACGGGAGCCGGGTGGCTGAAGGCCGAGGAAGGAGATGAAGAAGTGTCTTTACCGATTGTTCCCGAGGATAAGCACTCGCTTATCTGCAGCCAACTGCGAGCGGAGGCGGCGTCGACGTCTGGGAGAGGAGGGGGGGGAAGGGGAGGAATATCTCATTCTTCAAGTCGCCATGCGCGGAATGGCAGGGACCTGGTGGATTTGTATTCGAAATCGGTCCGCGTGACACGACACGTGTCACGGCAATTGCTGTCGCTCATGGATGAGGTAAGTTGTCATCTTCGCTTTTGGGAGGTGAGGGCCCGGGGATCGCAAGGGGCCAAACTAAGGTTCATGCTTCTGGAGAGAGGGCCGATAGAGTTTGTCAAAGGGGTGGGGAAGGTGTCCAAGCACTTGCTGGTGACACGTGGCAGGTATTCTGAGAGTCTGACAGATCAGGCCACGTGGCAGATCGCCGAGAGGGAGGGGTTGCTCCGTCTTCTGAGGGATCGGCTTGCAACGGCTATCGGAGATGTGCACAAGTGCGCGGCGATTCCTCTGTCGAGGCTGACGATACCGGATGGAGGGGGAGGAGGAGGCGTGGGAGGAGGTGGGAGCTTAGGATTGGGGGTGGGAGGCGGGGGGGGAGGCGGACTGCACGGGGGAACCAATCCTCGCGTGGTGATTTGCTCTTCGCTCACGGCGATCCAGATTTCCCTCTACAATCTAGAAGATTCCTACGATCTCCCGAAGGAGTCCGTGGTGTCATCAGCAGCAGCAGGAGGAGGAGGGGAAGGTGGTGGAGGAGGAGGGGGAGGATGGTGGTGGAGAGGAGGGGTAGGGGGAGGGGGAGGGGGAGGATGGTGGAGAGGAGGAAGGCTGTTTGGGGCGAGCGAAGAGGATAAAGCAACGCCACGTGTGGCTCTCTCCTTGGTGGAAATGGGTCTAGATCTGCATGCGAATGCCAGCTGGAGTGAGTGGAATGACGAGAAGATCGAACGCGCCATCGACGTGCTTTATGAGAACACCCGTTTGATTGCCACGGTAATCGGACGGCTGGTCTCGTACTACCGTCGGCCGTCCAAGCTGACACGGCGATGGGTTCGGTACGCCGGGATCGGGTTGGCGACCGGCACCTTTGTCGGCTTCCTCATTCGCCATAGCCGGTTGGCGGGAAGCGACGATCTGGAAAGGTGGGCGGAGCAAGGTGGGGAAGCAACCAGGGCGTTCTGGGACGAACACGTGGCGCAACCGTGGATGCTAATTAAGGAAGACCTGTTTGCCACTTTCCGCAGCCGTCCTAAGGGAATCGTCGATCCCGAGGAGGTGAAGCTGACGTCGGAGTCCCTGCGCCGCATGATGATCGCGTTCGTTGATGACGTGGCCGGACGGAAGGCGCCCTCGCCGGATATCCCGACCGATCAAGAGCTGATGGAGATGGTGATGAAACAGTACGAGGAGGAGGTTCTCCATCCTGTGCGAAATCTGGTTGGCGGCGAGTTGATGCGCTCTCTGTTGATTCAAATCCAGCGGCTGAAGCTCAACACCGAGACCGCCATGCTGGAGTTGGATCAGCTGCTGCGCGCGAACGAGTTGAACTTTGCGTTGATGGCCGCTTTACCCGCCATCATTTTGTCGGTTTTCGGCCTGGAGGTTCTCCGGCGAGCAATCAGAAGTGCGCGGGGCGAGCGAGGCCGAGGCCGCTCGGCTGTGCGAAGGCGCAGGATGCTGTTTGCTGACGTGGAGAGGGCGGTGTTGGCATGCCACGTGTACCTAATCGACCTCCCCTCCGGCGCAGCGCAACACGGAATGCTGCTTTACAGCCTAGAGAAGCTGTATCTTGCGGTTCGGGCGCGGGCGATGGAGAATCGAGAGTGGAGGAGGTTGAGGGAGGACGTTGTTCTGCTGTCCAACCCGGATATCGGGGTTGAGCAAAAGCTTGCACTCACAGCGTCCATGGCGCGGACGTTCGTCTCCTTGGGAGCGCTCCCTACCTAGTAAAGTTGTTGAAAACCGCAGCAGTGTCCATTGATTGTCGTCAGATAGTCAGATTGCCAATCAATCATCAGCCACAAGTCGCGCGAAAACCACAGAGCTTATTCACTTCGTCGTCCATGGCTCCCAACCTTCGTCTCCTTTGGATCGAGCGCTCTTTAGCGGGTAATCGGAGAATCCAAAGGATGATTGGCAGATAGGCAGAGGTCAGATAGGCAGAGGTTGAAGTCCAGACGAGAGGCGCAAAAAGCTTGGCAGCGATTAGCCGCTACTAACAGGTTACCCGCTAACGACCGCTACTACTTACGAGGGCGGCGTCCATGGCTCGAAGTTTCGTATCCTTGGGAGCGACCGGTCGTTAGCGGGTGACCTGTTCAAATCCACTGATTGCTAGATTGGCAGATGATTGACAGCTAGGGAGGGAGAAGAGAGAAGATAAGAAGGTACGTGGACCGTAAGTAGCAGCAGCTTGGATAAGGGAAGATGTTCAGGACATGCAGTAGTAGATGAGATGGATGGATGGTTAGGTGAGATAGAAATAGAGTAGATAGGCAAAAGAAGACGAAACGATAGATGGATCCTTGAAATGAGGATTGATGATGATGGGTAGAGCGGCGATGGTGATGTGAGGAGAGCTTGGATATGACGTGGCACGTGCTGTACTACGAGGAGACAAGGGCCGCTGTCATCAGGATGAAGGAGCTTAGGGGTGGCGCAGATTTATGATGCTTCATTGCTCAGGTCGATATACCTCAAAATCATCAGCAGAATTTTATTTTATTGACAATGGGAGGCTGTGGATGATGTGTGACAGATTGATCACCTCGCCAGTACTACATGTATAACGGCTTTATCCCTAGCACAGATTGATTGATGCTTTTCAATCATTCTGTCGTCCGCTGATTCATTTTATCCATTCCAGGATTTCATTGATCCCGTGCTGCCTGCTGTTGACGTGCGTGCTGCGGCGCTGAAGTGCGCGCGCGCATTCGGGTGATCGGGATAAGGATGGGGAGCAAGATGACGGTAGGGAGGAGGACCACGATGGGGAGAAGGATGAAGATTATGAAAGATTGGCGCGTCTAGTCAGAGTCTAAGATATCTTTGGGTTGTGTGTGCTGGCGGCCTCCCAGGCACACACCACGACGGCCCCTTGGCCCTTAGGACGGGAGGCTTGTGCTGGTGATCGGGGAGGAGGAGCTGAAGGGCGATGACGGCAGTTTGTAATGCAGCGTACGGTTAAAACATTGCCACGTGGCGGCAAACTGTGTTATCAAGACTGACAGGTACTGGTGTGTATCATTGCTGTGGCGGTGATAATGATAATGATGACGACGATGATAATGACAATTGTGACGATGACGATGGATGATGATGATGATGATGATGATGATGATGATGATAGATAGATGGCCTATGAAGAAATGAATATGACAGGCACAGGGGCTGATCGTTTTTTTGATGACCTAATTCTCGTCGTGACTCATGACGACGACGACGACGGATATAATGATGATGACGACGGGAGTCTTAAGATATCTATCTTGAGGAGGTAGCTCACCATAGATAGGGTCGGGGCGGCATAAACTTCGGGGAAGGAATTTTAGACTTGGTCTTGAGGATAACGACCATATCGTTCTCCTCTCGGGGTGGATCGTCTTTTTGTCAAGTCTAATTCTTGTCGTCATTCCTCCTCCTCCTCCTCCACCTGCGACTGCTATTTGCTCGCCCTTCCCCGTCTCTACATCGTTCTTAACTTAATTATCATCGGTGTCATCGCTTTTGGTGATCATTGTCTGCGTCATCATCATCACTGTTAGCTGGCCCTTCCTAGCCCAAGTCATCGCCACCACCATCCTCATCATCATTGCCATCATTGCCATCATCACCTCACGTATGTGTTTGTGGGATTTCCATCTCCAGCATCAATCCTAAGTCATCACCATCACCGTCTCCATCATCATCATCATCATCATCATCGTCATCGTCACTCCCATCTTCGTCGTCAGATACTCCATCGTCATCGTCATTCCCATCAGCATTCCCATCATCATCGTCATTCCCATCAGCATTCGCATCATCATCGTCATTCCCATCAGCATTCCCATCATGATAATCGTGTCATGTTGATGGGAATCCTGACAATCCTGATGGGAGAAACCATGACGAAGATCGGGAGGATGATGACGATGGGGGGAGTAGTGATGAGAATGCTGATAGTGCTGACAATCTTCGTCGTCATTACTTCCATCAGCATTGTCAGCATTTCCATCATCATAATCGAGCCCCCTTTTTTTCGCCTTCTTCCTGCTGTCTACCTTTTCGGTTGTCGCCGGTCTCTACGATGTTCAGAGAGAGGCCGGTTCGGGTTGTGGGTCATTTGTACCACGTGGCAGTTCCACGTAGGCAGTTTGTGCCAGAGCTTTGTTCTCCCCCCCCCCCCCCTCCCTCTTGTTGTCGTCGCGAGGAGGGGGAATAGCAGTTCTCTTCCTCTCTCTGCCAGCTTTCTGCGGGCTGCCTTACCCTTCGTCACGCGTGTGTTTTTCACATGGATCGTCGACCTTTCTTCTCCTGATAAGGAAACTTAGTCCCCTCTGTCAATCTATTTTTCTTTGAGAAGAGGGATTATGTGGCCCAACGCAGTGACATGTGTGTTGTCATTCCAATCTGCTTGGCCATGTGATTGCATGTCCCTATTGTCAGGCGTGCCCATCTATCAATCGTCGCACCGTTTGCTTTCTTCGCTCGTCCGGACGACGGCGTCGTGTTATCGTGACAAGTGTGACAAGTGTGACAAGTGTGACAAGTGTGACAAGTCCTGGCTACCTATTGCACACTGGGGTTAGCAAATTTGTGGAAGATTGAGTATCACAACGCTCAGTCGCAGAGTAGCCGTCTACCAGCACACATGGCAGCATGCTGTTTTTATTTCGTGAAAGTCGTTGTTGAAGGAGCCAGGGCGGGGAGGCGGTTTGAGGGGCCGGAGGAAGGTGCAATTCCATGGTTCGCTCCGTCTATGATGCGCGTGTTCCCCCGTCGGACTATGTCTCCAGTTCGGCTTGGAATCTACTTTGAGCGAATTTCTTTTTTGTTTACGAGAAGCTTCTTCTTCGGTCATCTTCTTCGACTCCTCGTCTGTCCTCTTCTTCTTCTTCCTCCTCTTCTTCTTTCTCCTTTCTTCTTCTTCTTCTTCCTCCTCTTCTTCTTTCTTCCTCCTCCTCCTCCTCCTCTTCTTCTTCTTCTTCTTCTTCTTCTTCTTCTTCTTCTTCTTCTTCTTCTGCTGCTGCTGCTGCTGCTGGTGCTTCTTGCTGCAGCTGCTGACTGCTACTGCTCGTACACGAGAAACGTCTCCTTCGTCATGAATCATCTTCTTTGTATTTCTTTATAGAATCATATATAATCATAATCAATTTAAAGGAGTTTCATTTAAGTGCATGTATTTTGTACTTACAAGAGAATATTTATCATTCATTCTTATCAAAGTGATTTTACTGAAAATTTGGCTTTTTTATCTTCTTTCGGCGGACGTGCTTTATTTATGCATCTTTCTACGCGTCGTCTTAATGCGCTGCGAGTGCCCTACCTGTACGCTTTCTTTTCATTAAATTTATAATCCAGACCGTTCAGACTTTACCACTTTTCTTCCTTCTGCTTCTTCTTCTTCTTCTTCTTCTTCTTCTTCTTCTTCTTCTTCTTCTTCTTCTTCTTCTTGTCCTGCTGCTGCTGCCGCCTCCTCCCCCTCCTCCTCTCTAAACAAACAAAATGCAGGTTTCTGGTAGGTGCTCAACTCCCCCCTCGGACTTGCCCTTTTCTTTTTTTCCTTCGTTTTTGAAAAAACAGAGCTATTTTCTTCTCGCAAATTCGCCTTTCACTACCTACCTACCACTACTCCTTAGGCTATACAGGGGACCCCTGCCAGCATAGCTATCCTTGAATGAAGGGGTGGCATGTGGCCCCCTGCCCTACCTGCCGGTGGGGGGCCGGCTAATGCAAATACCGACCATTTTTTTGCCAGTGGCTGCGCCTCCTTTTTCTTCTTCCTCAACCCGCATCGAGAATAAGCCAGTGTCCAAAGCCCACACTCTCCCACACATCACACACAACCCACTCGCACACACATTCACACCCGTGTTGGCTAAAGACTACTAATACCAACTTGAGGTAGACAGAAGAAAGGAAGTAATTGCCCTCTTTTGTGCCGCTTAGTCTCATGTTGGCTATAAAAGAGAGAGGGGAGGGTAGTAACCCAAACGGTTATGAGTGCCGTCTTCCCCCGACATAACGCATCCTGAAAATGAACGTACACGAGGTATGTTTTCGGCCAGATGCAGTCAAAATGAGGGTGCGTTGTGTTCGGGAGAGGACGGTAGGGGTACCGAAGGCGAACCAGAATGGAAAAGCCAAGGGAACACGTGCACTGTTGATAACCAGATTATATGAGTTCGAATCCTGATGGAATTAAATGGGTACAATAAGGGCAGAGGCTACCCCTGTTTAGACAAAAAAAGGCAGGGGGAGAAAGAATCCAAGAGATAAATGCTGCAACTACAGGCAGAAAGGAAAAGGGATTTTTATTATTATTATTATTAATTTAAAAAAAAAATTATTAAATATAACAGATGCAACGAGCCTCTTAGTTCAACACCAGTGAGCGCACACAATCACACCACATGCATGTATGAGATCACACGAGATTCACACTGGAGACCAGAGAGATGAAGACCATGTAGCGCAGCTCAGAATTCCAACAAATTATCATATATTATATATATAAATAAACAATTAAGAGTTTCGGTCACAGGCGCTCAACAGCGCAACCCGAAGTATGCAGAATCTCCACTCAGGTATGTAACTTTCCCGAAGCTCTTCTCTCTTCTTCCTCTCTTGATTTTCTCTCTGTCTTCTACCTTCCCGTATCTCCCTATCTGCATGCACTCACACTCTCTCTACTACTGAAGGACCAACTCCAAGTACACCCACTGTCTACTCTACTAACCTCTCTGAAGACTACTACTAACTACTAGCACTAACACCCTGCACTGGCGCAGCTATGGCTGCCTTCTCCCTGCCAGCGCTCTCTTCCTCTCTCTCCCTCTCTCTCTCTCTCTGCTACCTCTCTGAAGACTACTACTAACTAGCACTAACACCCTGCACTGGCGCAGCTATGGCTGCCTTCTCCCTGCCAGCGCTCTCTTCCACTGTCTCCCTCTCGCTCTCTCTGCTAGCGCAGCACTCTGGCTTCAGCGCTCTGCCCCTGACAATTAGCGCACAAGTGCACCAGCACTTCCACACTTCATGCGAATGAGCTATCTGCCGAATGAGGAGGCTGGCCAGTCCTTTTGTAGTCTTGGATTGCACTTCAACTTGTGCCAGCCTCTGCTTCTTGGGGCCTGACTGGGTTCCGGTACCACATCCCCACGGCCTGTCTGCTTTCGAATGTCAAGGCCTGGAACCTTCTCGAATTTCCATTGGTCTGCTGCTGCTTGGGCCTTTTAAGTCGTGACTTTTTTATTTTGGCATATGGTTTTGACTGTGGACTGTGACTCCTGCCTCTGCGACACGACTCTTGCCTATGGGACTGCCCTTTCACTCGTGGGATGTGACTCTTCAATATGACTTTTCATTATGAAACGTGATTTTTGCCCCTAAGATGTGACTGTTTGCTGGGTGCCTGTTGGACTGGACTGCTAAGGTAACCGACTGTGACTTTTTCTGAAATTGACTAACTCGGCCTTTCTTGGCCAGGGCCTCTGACCCTGAGACCCGATTTTGGGGTCTGAATCGTGGAAGGCCTTTCACAGATCAGCATTTCGTTACAAAGAGAAATTTCAATTTGAGGCCGGGGACCTCACAATTCAACCCGGAGTTATTCTGGCAGCCTTAGCCGGTTTCGCTTACAGCCATCAGGGCTGGAGAACCACAAATAAACTCAATACTTCACTCAAGAGTTAAAACTTTCTGAATTCCTGACTACTACTCAATGTTTGACTCGATACGCAATCCGAATAGCAAGTACCTCATGCTCATGTAAATCACCATGCCCGAGGGTTCTCCCTATCTACTTTATTCTAAGGCTAATCTACCACTCTATACTACAGCAGCTATCCTATAACTACTTACACAGGCCTACCCGGCCAGACACCGTCCCAAACTGACCTGTTGGAACATCTGTTCTCAGTCACCGTGGTACTCTTCCACCACCACCCCTGAGTGACCTCCTGCGGTCTGAACCTCGAACCGAGATACCACCCCTACCAAACAGGAGCCTTCTAACTTCGTCCCCGTTACGTTTACTGCGACGCCTGCTCCCTCCTCTCTGCTATCCAGCTGTGCTCCCAACTGTCCTACCCAGTCAGCCACTTGGAGAGTACAAGGCCCCAGGTGGTATGCACTCCTGCCAGCTGATTACCTTTGGCCCAGGAACGCAGGAGGAACCACCAGAGTTGACGCCTTGAGGCTTTCCCGAACTTGGCCTTCTTCCTCCAGTCTGCCCAAATTGCGCTTCTCAGACCTCTCTCTTGATTGCTGCTTGGATTTCTGGGTCAGAGTATGGGCGCCTCTCAAATCTGGACCGGTTCCTGTATGCCCAGATGACTGAGCAGATCACTCCCCTTACCACCTGGGCTACGTATGGCCAGCCTTTTTTCCCCGGAATGCTCCTCCTGAACTAGGCCTAGCAGGACCCAACATTCTTCTCACTCAATACCTTCCCCCCCCGAATCTGTTCCGGTGATCATCCCACCATTTCCACACCCTCTTGGAAGCTGGGCAATCCCACCACAGATGTTTGGTGGACTCAAATAGCCAAGAGCACCGGGAGCACCTCAGGGACACATCCATCCCCCTGCTGCACAACCAGACCGCCGAAGGCGTGACCAGGAGTGAAAGCATCCAGAGGAGGCTTGAATGTTTCAAATCAGGCAGAATTTGGAGCACTTTCCATAGTTTTAGGAAGTCCCCTTCTTTCCCCTGCAGGTCTTCCAACAGCACTGCGCTCCATCTGGACACTGCTACTCCTGCCGGAGATCTGACCCTGCGTTCCGCCAGCTTGTAGGACTGTTGGACTGTATAGTTAGAGAGGTCCGTTTTCTGTGGTGCGGTCTGTGACACTCCATTCCCTCTCCACCTCCATGCTCTGGGCTCAATGAACAGCTCCCTCGGTGGCACTCTTCCCACCCACAAGGAATATAGCAGAGCGGTACGATTGTGCGAGGCTAAAGGCCTCGGTAAGCCCTACTGGGCCCTGTTTCAGCTAGAACAGCCGCCCTAAGTGAAGGCGGGCCTGACAAGTGACGAGAGGCCTATTTTGTGTTTCGATGCAGCTGGGGAAATTCAGGCAGTTACGCCGCGTCAGTTGGTTGAATGCGCCCAGGCCCTGCCTGCCTGCCTCTCGGGCCTTCAGGCCCTTTCTCAGATGAATCGGAGCCACGCCCTGGACCAGACACGGGGCATGAACTGAACACAGGCCGACTGGGTAATTGGACATGGGTAGCCTCCGCAGGCCCTGTGGAAGATTCCCTGGGACAGGGTCTCAGCCACTTGGGGCCTACCGGAAGCTTCCTGGGAGAGGCCCAGGCCAGCCAGGCAGCCCACGACTGGCAGCCTCAATCCATAAAGGAAAGGGCCTGGCTGCTGGCTGGACGTTCGGGCACTTGCTGCTTATGCGCAAGCGCTGCTGCGCCAGCTGCTAAAGTGAGTGCCTACGCGCTCACGGGCGAGCAGGGAAGAAGCAGGCATCCATAGCCGAGCTGGCCTGCGCGTTGCTGGATGGGGCGCATGGTGGTCTTCGGGTGCATGTGGCATCTGTGTGGAGGATCGAGGTTGTTAGTGAAGCGAGGGACATGCCTGGTGCTTGATGCAAACGGCATTGGCCGAGATCTGCTCGTACTTCGGGAAGCTGTTGACGTCACCAGCGGCATTGTAGATAGGCGAGATAGGATCTGCCATTTGTAGTCTGGGCTCTTGAGCGACAGATAGGGAATCGACATTGGTTCATTTCGAACATTGCATGGTAACCCCGGACCC